ACTTATATGTGTTGGGTCAATATCAGTGGTCAATATTTGTAAAATTCACTCACTGATAAAGATAAACATTTTTTTAAATGTTTTTTCCTAACCTGCCTAAAACTTTTGCACAGCCCGCTGGTGTTGATGATGCTCGCAGACGGTGTGACTGAGTTTATTGATCGACCGAGTGGGCTCGGTCCGGTTGTAGGTCTATCTTTAGGCTGCTGGTCTATGTTTAGCCCCGCAGCAGCAGCACCACCGCCCACCCGCCCGACGACCAGCTGATCTCTGCCGCACGTAGCGCCGTCGTGTGTCGAGGCTCCGCCCCCTTTTTTCCTATGGAGGATTTATCTATTTTCCCTCTCCGTCTCCGTCTCCTCCGCCGCCGCCGAGACGAAGCGAAAGGCAACCGCGACGACAGCAGGCCGAGCGGAAGAGCCCAGACCGCGGCGGAGGAGTGAAAGGATGAGAGACCGACCGGAGCCGCCGCCGCCGCCGCCGCCGAACGCCGGAGGAGGCGACATGAGCTCGGAGTAAACAGGCGGGGAGGACGCCGCTGCGCCGGTCGGTAAGGAAGGGTGGATGATGGGCGGATGAGCACATAAACAGGTGGATGGTGTGATGGCGGGTGCAGATGCGGCCGTCTGGCCGCTCCTCGAGGCTTCACCGCGGCCACGGAGCTGCGCGCGGAGCCGCTGAACACATTAGAACACTCTGCAGCTTTGCAGCCTCCATCATCATCATCATCATCATCATCAGCATCATCATCATCATCATCAGCATCATCATCATCATCATCAGCATCATCATCATCACTGTCATCATGATTTACTGAAGGTACTGACAGCCTTCATCCGAGCTGAACTAATTGACTGCCTTCGTTTATTTTATCTTTTATTTATTTGTATTTTTTTTTTTTAATTATTATTACGTCGTTCTCCTCCAGCGGCTCTCTGTCGGGATGTCTGGAGCGGCCGGACCCGCACCGCCCTCCGGGGCCGGGCCGGAGCTGCCGGACCTGAGCCACCTGACCGAGGAGGAGCGGCGCATCATCCTGTCAGTGATGGAGCGACAGAAGAAAGAGGAGGAGAAGGAGCAGAGCATGCTGAAGTAAGTGGAGGTGTTGGCACCATCAGCTGCAGCGGAAAACTCCATTTAAAAAAAAAAGTCATGTCACAAAAAGGCTGTTAGATCTGTCCTGAAGAAGAAGAAGTGCTTGAGCATCAGCTCATTTTAAAGGATGAACTGGGTCAGAATCTCAGAACAGTGCTGATGCAGCAGCAGCAAAAATATCTGAAGGAAGTTCTCCAGAACACCACCTGATCTTGGACTTATAATAAAAAAAAAAAGGGAAAATAAATTATTTGCTGGAGTTTATTTCAAGTTTAGGATGCTTGCTGGTTCGGTTCTGTGGTTCTGCCTGGTTATTTCACAGTCTGGATGTTGCCAACAGCCCTTCTGTGCTTTTTTGTTGGTTTTAATTACTGCAGACTTAATCCAGTTATCCCATTAGTTGGGGGGTGTTGGTGGGTCGGGGTTTAATGGGTCAGAAGCTGCTGGTGTTTTTGGATCTTTGAAGGCTGATTTGTTATCAACGCAGTTGTTTTAAACGAAGGTCTGGATTGGATCAAACGAACTGATCCATCAGAAAACGACTCTTTCTGGGTGCCTCCTGTTTTTTTTGATGGTATCTGAAACTACTTGAGATGATGTCCTTGGTCACTGGTGGAGCTGCTGTGTCCACCTGAGCCCAGCAGATGTCTCTGAAGACAAACTGGAAACTTAAACTGGAACAGTTTGTGGAAGAAGCCTCTCGTCTGAGAATTTACATTTTCCTGTTTTTCAGTTAAATTCTCTAAAAATCCACAATTAAAGAATGAAGCTGACTCCTTCCCTGTGTTTTCACAACAGCTCCAGATTTATTTTCGTTTGATTATCACATTATTTCTGTGCTTTTAATTTGATGCACTTTTCCATCCTCTTATTATTCTTCTTCTTCTTATTATTATTATTATTATTATTATTATTATTATTATTATTATTATTATTATTATTATTATTATTATTATTATTATTATTATTATTATTATTATTATTATTATTATTTAGAGCTGCTGAAGTCATAGGTGGTGAATCAAAGGTTAATTGACTAAATAATTTAAGTTTAATGAGTTATCATCATTACCCAAAACATTTTAGTGTTTGTGCTTTTTGTTTAATCTGTCAAATATTTCAAAAATACAAATCAAAAATTTAAATATGTGTTATCGCCGGAGGTGTCAAAAGTATTCACATTCATTACTAAGGGCTGCCACGATTAATCGATTAATCGATTAATCGATTAATCGACGACTAATCAATTATTAAAATAATCGATGACTAATTTAATAATCGATTAATCGTTTTCTTTTTTTTGTTGTTCTTTACTTTTTTTCTCTCCAAACTGCTTTGACACCTTCCACTGCCACGTCTGCCTTTCTGTCCTTGACACACATGCACAGTMGTGGTAACTGGGGTAGGCCGTGGACGTCACAAGTAGGGCTGCGCCGATTAGTTGAAATAATCGATGACGTCGATTATGTAAATTTGTCGACGCAGATTTTTTATTATCGATTCGCTGTATTACATAAACACCAGGTGAATGTTCTTGCAATTCTGTTTCGGTACCTAAATGCATCATTGCGACCGTATTGGCATAAGAGTGGTGAGTTTTTCATGAAAATATTACAATTACAATTACAATAATATTACAATATTAAAGAACTGTTCTTGTTAATTTGATGAAAACATTTTGAATTTCCAGTGCACTCACATCAGAATAACTTATAGATTAGTTGTTAGAATAATCGATTAATCGAAAAAATAATTATTAGATTAATCGATTAGAAAATAATCGTTTGGTACAGCACTAGACCACAATCAAATTCACTCTATCCAAGGGCTCCATGTATCTGGATAGATTTCTATTTAATTTTTTTATTTTTATTTTATTTTTTATGAACAGTGAAAAGATGGAATGAAAACAAATCAAAGTTAAACAGAAACTGAATACTTTTTGCATTTTTAAAAAGTAAGGAGTAGAAAGTACAGATAATTTAACTACAATGTAAGGACTCGAAGAAAAAGTAGGTTGAAAAATAATTACTCCACTAAAGTATAAATAACCAAAATAACTACTTAAGTAAAGTAACAAAGTATTTGTACTTAGTTACTTGACACCTCTGGTTATCACAGATCTCTAAAGCTTATCCTGTAGAACCTCCTCACCCTTATAGAAAAAAAATACACGAACATTTCACTAAAGATTATGGAGTTAAATTACGGCCATAAAGTTTGTTTAAAAAATAGAAACTGAAAAAAAAATTGAAACAGAAAAAAAGAAGCTTAAAAAACGTTTGTCAAATTCCAGGGGAAAAGTGTCACGTTTTTTAAAAGTATATTTTTTAATAGTTTCGTACTTCTGGCCCTGTTTTGGCATGGGGGCGGGGCTTCAGATGACAGTGGGTGTGGAGTCGTGACTGACAGCTCAACCCAGCTGTTGCATTCAGGAACAGTGGGAACTGGAAATGTCACAAAAACATTATCAATATCATGTGATTTGCTTTGAAAAATAACAAGCTGCTCATGTCAACACACAACACACATCTTAGTGGAAGAATTGCAATATTGACAAAAAAAAACCTCGACACTCATCAGTGTCAAGAACTTCAGCTAGTTTTATTCATCAGAAGGTCCTGAGCAATGATGRCTTTTAAAACCTCCTCACTAACAACAAGAATCTATTTACCTGTTTCAAAAAATGACTTCAGCAGCTCATTCAGACTGTTTCTCCATGTTTCTGATTATTTTATGCTTCAGTTTCAGTGTTTTTCTTTGTTCTGTTCTTTTTTATTTTTCTTTTGTTCTGTTATTTTTTATTTTACCATCGTCATCATCATTCATGTCTGCAGGGATCAGGAGGAAGAGAAACCTCCCCCAGCTTCGTAAGTACTAAAAGTAAAAAAAAAACTCTCCTCCAAACCAACCTTTTACACTCTCAACCACTTCCTGTTTCCCAAACTGACTCCTCCCCCTCCTGGGTGAACACGCAGCCTGTCAGCTGACTGTCTGTGTCACCTGGACAGGTGGAATCCGTTCTCAGGGTTCAGTCAGTTGGTCAATAATGTTGCAGCCAACGTGACCGAAGTTCTGCAGGTTAAAAGTCCGACTGACAACGAGTCGCAGACGTGAGTAAAACCCGTAGGAGGTGAGCGGATCAGTGTGTTTTGACGGTCTGGCTCAGCTCAGAACTCTGGTCCGGTGTGGCTAGAACCAGAACCAGGACGGAGAATCAAACATTAACTGTGTTACATAATGTTGCATAAAACTTTTTAAAAAATTCCCTCAATTTTAAGACTTACACCATCTTCTGCTAATATTCCCATAATACAATGCAGGAAAAAAACTTTTTACTGTCGTAGAGAAAATATTTAAATCGGCTCCTAATATTTTATTATGTTGTTTTTTTTCTCCACAGGAAGTTACATCAGCAGTTTGAAATGTACAAAGACCAAGTGAAGAAGCTGGGGGAGGAGCCACCTGCAGCTCAGACGGCGAGGGCGGAGTCTCCCACCTGCGGCATCTGCCACAAAACCAAGTTCGCCGACGGCTGCGGTCGAGCCTGCTGCTACTGCCAGAGTCGCTTCTGCGCCCGCTGCGGTGGGCGTGTCCCTCTGAGGGCCAATAAGGTCAGCTTCACTGAGACCTTCAGGGTTTCCTTTCTGATCCTGATACACCTAATGTATCTGGTAAATCCTAATAATTCATTTTAAACTCAGAATAATGTTGATGTAGCDTCCTCATTTACAAAAGCCGAGCTAATACAAAAAAACAAACAAACAAAAAAAGGGACACAATCATAAAAATATATATATAAATGATGTTTTAAACAATAAAAAAAGAAGTAAAATAATAAGAACTGCTAAAAAAGAATGACTTGCCTCTGAATTTACATTACATGCAGATGCAAACATGAAAATACTGAACATGTAACATTTACAGACTGAGTGCTGCTGCGCTTATATTATTACCCAGGCAGAAGAAAAAGTAGTTCCCAACCTTGTATTATTTAAACAAGATTTCAACAGTTTAGTTACTTTCCACTGTGTTCCTGTTGATGATATACATTATCTGAAAAGACTGAAGTATCAAAATATTGATATTTTGATTTTAGAAATGACATTAGATTAAATTCTAGTATTGATATTTCAGTATTGATCCGCCCATCATTAAAATCAGCAAAAATTTCTGTAACTCTTAAATAAAACTAATAAAGACAAGCTTGTTTAACTTTAATGATCTTGTGTTTTAGGTGATGTGGGTGTGCAACGTGTGCAGGAAGCAGCAGGAGATCCTGACTCGATCAGGGGAGTTTTATTCCAGTGCATCGCCCCCACACCTGCCCCTTCAGGGCCTGCCAGGAGCCATGGCGCCTCTGAGCAACGGAGCCACAGACCAGTAAGTCTTTCGTTGTCTCAGTTACAGTTTATTGTAAAGACTGAACTTGTGTCGACATCGGAAAATCAGATTTAGACCTCTTAGATCAGAGATTCTTAACCCATGGGCCGCGGCCCAATTGTGGTCTGTGAGCACCACCTTGAGGGCCTCAAAAGAACAATAGTTTTTAACTTTGGGCCGCAGAGGGCCGTGGGACCGCGTTGATTTTAAATAAGGTGCAATACACTTTCTCACCACTAGTAGTGGTAGTGCGCCAATCAGTTGTTTAACAACTTTTTTTAATATGTAGAAGAAGAACCTTAGAAACCTGCTGAGAATGGAAACATATTTAAACTTATTACTTAAACTTATTTTAAATTAAAAGTAGAAGCAAAATTGAAAGCAATCCATCAAAAAAGACCAAAGTTTGTCACTAATATGAAGTACAGCCTCTGTTTTTACCATGCAATATTTTAAAAGTTCAAAACATTATCAAATACAGCTGCAGATACAACTATATTTTAATTTGCACTTTAAATTAATTTTTGTAGTTTATTTTTAAACATTTTGAATGTATTTTAAAGAAATTTTAAACTTGTCAAAAAGCTGTTGTTACTGTTATTGTTTGTGACTAATATGAAGAGCAGCTTCTGGTTGCAAAAGTTCAAAAAGGCTTTATTTTCATTTGTACTTTATCAAATTTATTTTAAATTTTTTTTTATTTGAAACATTTACATTAAACATTTTATATATACTGTATATGCCTGTCTTGCCTGACTTTTATGTTTGTTCAAATAATTGTTATGGGCAGGTTACAATATAAAAATGTTTGTCATAATCATGTCTTATGATTATTTGACAGGAGTTTTACTTTTAAACTGTAAGTGTATTTAATTTAGTTATGTTAGTTAAGATAGTTTAGTTATAATATAAATACAATACAAATTAAACCAAGATTTAGAATAATAACCATTTTGATCCGTACATTGTTAAAGTCTGACTGGGCCTCGGGACACTTTATGTTCAACAAATTGGGCCCAGAGGTCAAAAAGGTTAAGAACCCCTGTCTTAGATCAACTTCAAAAGATTTACAAAATAAAAAAAAAGACAAAATGGGTTTTTAACCCTCAGCTGTGTCTGCAGGTTGAGTCAAGTAAACTTCAGACTCATCTTTTGACATCTGAATTAGCCTTAATTAGATTGAACAGATACATTTACAACCAGACCCCTGTTTCAACACAAAAGCTCGTCCCCCCTTCATTAAACACGCACACACACACACACACACACACACACCGGCACTCACACACAAACAAACACACTAATCAGATTAACAGATTAATAATCCTGCAGCTCACTGGGGATTATTGCACTGCTAAATACAGAAGGCTAACACACAAATGCTAACAAAAGCTAACAGCAGTGATGTAATATCACATGTGGGCGGAGTCAGCGAGGCAGTGGATACAGGAGGGGGCGTGGCTTAAATCGGGGTGGGCGGGGCTTTTGTTGYGCTGCGGCTGTCAGTCAGAAACCTGCTGAGTGTGTGATTATGTGTCACTCTGCCGCATGTCGAACAACCAACGACACGATGCTTCCAGCCGTCAGCAAGCTACAGAAAAACAATAAGACACTTTTATTTTTCACCTGGATGAGGTGTGTTACTCAGCATCTGTATGACGTGTGTATTGTTACACACTGAACAGAAACAATCCCTGCATGTAAGTATGCATCTCACATTTTAAAATCTTTGTTGTTTTACTGCATTATTTATTAAATAGATTACAGAGAATTGTGTGATTTCAGTTTTTAGTAGAACTTACTTGAAAGTACAAATTTCTACAAGAAACCCATTTTTGACTAAACAAATCTTAGTTTCAAGTTAAGTTAGGGCAGGGCTATTCAATTGGCGGCCCACGGGCCACATCGGGCCGCGAGTGACCACAGTTCGGCCCGTCAATTGGTTCATTCATCTCCCCCGGTTTTCTTCTTTAATTACTCTTAAGTTCTTTTAGTTAAACATAGACATGTTTGGTATCTACAGAAATGTCATGGCTAGAAGCTGGTAAAAAACATTTCTATGAACACGCAAGACAGTTAAAATTACAAGCAGCTGAAAATAAAACTATGAAAGTGAAAATAAAATTGGTTTAAGAAGTTGACAAGTCAGAGATGTCAAAATATTATTTGTGTTGAGTATGAGGCAGAATATGTTATTTTTGTTTTTGATATTCAGCGTTCCCACGGGTCCTTGAAATCCTTCAAAGTTTGTGAATTTGAAAAAAAAAAACATTTCAAGGCCCTGGAAAGTTTGTGAAAACAGCCAAAAAGTACACTTTTCCTTGAAAATCTTTAAATGTTTTTTGGGGGGATTGAAATTCTCTATTCACACAACTGATTTTCATCATCTCACAAAAATAAATTGTAAAATAAAAAAACATTACATTTGTTGAGGTGGATAACTCAGGATTACGGTAAACTGGCGTCATTGTTTCTGACTCAACAACTCTTCTATTTTGTTTAGTTTTTCATTTAATTTACGATATTAAATCTGTTTATTGGTAACATTCTGCAGTAGCAGTAGGTAATAGCCGTTGCGCATGGTTCTTTAAATTGAGGAAATTGGTACTGGAAAGTCCTTGAAAGGTCCTTGAATTTGAAGTTGACCAAGGTGTGGGAACCCTGGATATTGTTTTATTATCACTACATTTTTTTACATGGGGTTTTTTATGTTATATTCATGATTAATGCAGCAAAATAAACTATTTCAAAGGTAACAGATCTTTGTAATACTTGGTTTATTTACATAATGACTTTAATTGCTGGATGTTTGGCCCAATGAGGTATATTAATATGTATATACCTCATTGGTTTGGCCCTTTAGCTTTTGATCTGCATTACCTGTGGCACAAGGAACAATTTAGTTGAATAGCCCTGAGTTAGGGTATAGATTTTAAGTTCTGTAATATTTTTATATTGAATTAATTTAATAACATATAATTATTGGGTGCTGCAGGTGAAGTTAAATGACTTTGCAGCGACTTTCATTGAAAGAAGTTCTGCATAGATCTGATTGGTTGTGTGTTTGGCAGGAGGCGGAGCCCCTCGAGTTCGTACTACGATGGTGGCAGGATGCCTCGCTCGCCATATGACCACAGTCTGGATCGTCGCAACCGCTCGCTGCACAGCTACCACGGTAACGGGGAGACCGAGCTGCGAGTGCAAAGACGACCAATCAAAGACGGCCGAGGCCGCTGGCACTCGCAGGTCAGGCAAACGAATAACAGTAGTTAAAACCTTACATTTGTGTAATGTTACAGTTCATTGATGCTGACCTCCCTGCTCTCCTGGATCAGGACCACCCCTTCGATCCGGTTCTGGTCGATCGCGAGCAGAGGCGGAGACAGGAGGAGGAGTTTCAGGCCCGTTATCGCAGCGACCCAAATCTGGCCCGTTACCCCGTGAAGCCGCAGCCAAGCGAGGAGGCCATGAGGATGCTGGCTCAGGTGGGCAGAGTCCGTCACCAGCGTCGGCACAGCGACGTCTCCCTGGCAGTGGCAGAACCCGAACACCTGAACGTCCGACACCCGGGTAAGAAAACACCTGACGGCCTGCCCGTGCTTCGCCACGTGACGTTAAAACTCTGGTTCCCTCTCAGCGGTCCGTCAGAACCAGCCTCAGGGACTGCTCGGCGCCGGAGGTCAGAGGTCGTTCTCTGTCGACAAGGCGGCCAATCACATCAGCCCCACGTCGCCGCGCCGCAGCCCACTGCCGCAGCAGCACCTGGACCCGAGCTCCGCCCTCAAGAGGAAGCCCGCCAACGACTGCATGGCGCAGAGGGGCCGGATGATCGGGAAGATGCACGTGATTGGCAGCTTCAGCAGCTCAGAGGAGGAGCTGCTGACCACGCCTGAGTACACCAGCTGCGACGAGCCTGACCGTGAGTTACTAACAAAACGCTGCGACAACCTTTTTAGAGCAACCTCAGAGACAAAACAGAAGGTTTAATATGTTTCACCTGCAAGTCAAAGTAAAGGGTTAAACGAAGGCAGATAATAAACATTAGCAAATGCTAAAAGAGCTTTAATTTAGTTAATTTAGCAGATTGAAGCTTAAATTTGGTGTTGTAGAAGATGTGAATCTTATAACTGTTAATCAAAACTAAAAGTAATCTAATTAATTAAGAAGACTGAGGGACAACAACTTTAGGTCGTAATTAGTCTAATACCCACAGATCTAATACAAACAGACCAGTGGATGTGTTTAAGTGTTCTGCTGCCCTCTAGTGGCGAGTGTTTTTTTCTTCTTCCTGGAACACGTGACCTTCAGTCTGGATATCATGAGTTTTTGAGCTTTAAGTTGAGAGCAGAAACAGGGAGTTGAACCAGGGATAGTGAGTGTGTGTGTTCTCTCCGTCTCTGACTTAAATTAGCTCAGTGTGATAATCTGCTTACGGCTGGATCTGGCTTCACCTCCAGCCAGCTCCACCTGTACTCCCCTAGCTTCACACCAGAGGGTTCTGGTGAGAACACAAACAGCAGGACCAACCAGAAAAYTACTCTGGGGGGAGTTTGWTGTTGAAAATAGCACTTCCTGTTTCACTCAAAAGGCCCTTGAAGGTCCACTGATTTCAACTTCTACTCTATTATGCACGCCTTCTTTTATATAGAGTTGCTTTGATGTTTTAAAAGTTGCACAGGTTGTGCAGATGGTGTTTGTTACGCCGCTGCGGCTGTCAGAGGTGTTTCAGCTGTTTTCTCACAGGGGAATCAGGCATCGCGCTGACAAAGTTAATCTGCTGCGTCTTAGTGCCAGAGCCATCGGAGATGATGAGCTCTGATTGGCTCAGAGGACTCCTAGCTCCTCCCATCAGGTTCAGAGGTGACAGGGCAGCTCAGGGTCTCGATGCAGTCCTGCCGAAGGCGCCTGGACCAAGAGGCCGACCACAAAAAAACCTCTAAGAAACTTGAACAACTTGGAGCACCCCTGGAGGATCCCTGGAGAACCCGTCCCTGATAATCCTGTCCGTTTGAGAAGGAACCCTTTGGTCTGGTGTTTTGGTGCTGTTGGATGTCAGCTCTCGTTCAATTGGATTAAAAGGGAAGAGTGTGGATTATCAGGAGTCACTGCAGAGAAACAGGAATAGAAACACAGAGCAGGAGGGTCCTGCAGCCAACACACAGGTGGTGGGGCAATAAGGGGGCCGGATAAGCTTTTAATTGGAATTTTGGTTGATTTCCTGGGTAACATCTGGATTTGAGTAATTTTTTGGTGCAAAGGTGGAATAAAAGGAGGGTTGATGCTGAGATGTCGCCCTAATCTCACCAGCGTCCGTCACCGTTCCTGTCCGACCTGCTCTGGCAGGTCTCTGACAGCTTTCCAAACTCAAACTTACTAAGTAGTAAAGGCCAACAATGCTAACAGCAGAATCACTGGCTGGAAGGTGGACTCCCTGTTCGGCCTGAGCTAATCTCGTTACAGACAGGTATGAACTGCTCTGCAGCCTGCAGGCAGAACTCGGGGCAAATTGCAATTGCAGACCCAGTAAGGACGAGGGGCACTGAGGAGCTGCAGGTTCACTTCCTCCTCTTCAGCTCTCTCTTTACCTCTGAAGCAGCGGTTTTCATGGCGTCCACACAGACCTGTGAGTACAGAACATTTTATGTCGGACCCTCTTGGGAGGAGGTGTCCCGATCTTGTCTGACGTAGGATTTTAGCTCGATGGGAGCTTATGTTTCACTGTTTTGTCCTCTCCATGCATTTTCTCAATCTTTAACTGATTATTAGAAGTTTCTGGTTAAATTCTTGGAATTAAAGCTTCTGTTGGACCTCATTGTCTGTAGGAGACATGGAGAGCCAGTGGTGGGATCACGGTTGGCATGGAGAGCCTGCACCTATGTCAATGGTAACTAAAATCACAAAGTCCTCAATATTCAGTTTTTGATCAGTCAGTTATCTTGCTCTCAAAGAAAATATTTGGTTACAGTTGTCCTGGTATGTTTGTTTCTTCTGTGACCTATCAGCAGCCGGTCACGTGGCAACCATCCAAGGATGGAGAGCGTCTGATTGGTCGGATCGTGCTGAACAAACGGATGAAGGACGGGACGGTTCCTGCAGACACAGGAGCTCTGCTGGGACTGAAGGTGATGCTCCCGATTCATGTCTTCCTCTTTTGTTTTTCTTTTTTTACGTGAAGTTGAGCGCCTTGCTTATGAGCGATGTGTTCCCAGGTCGTCGGGGGAAAGATGACGGAGTCGGGTCGTCTCTGCGCATTTATCACCAAAGTGAAGAAAGGAAGTCTGGCTGACACCGTTGGACATCTGAGACCTGGTAAACACTCGATTCACAGCAGAGTTACTGGAAGTGTACCTGGTTATTTTACACGCGCACAATGCTGGATCCTTTTCTTTCTAACCACTTCTTCCTGCCTCAGGCGATCAGGTTCTCGAGTGGAACGGGCGGGTTCTGCAGGGCGCCACTTTCAACGAGGTCTACAACATCATCATGGAATCCAAACCAGARCCACAGGTGGAGCTGGTGGTTTGCAGACCAATCAGGTGAGTCGTTGAACGTTTCAGCCAGTGTTTTATCCGAGGTCAAGTCATTTCTAAATATTATTTATCGACATCTCTAATAACTGTCGGTTTGTGTTCTGCAGAGATGTTTCAAGAGCAGCTGATGGTTCCAACGTTCACCTGGATTCCAGTGAGTGAAGCACAATAAAACCACCACAAACAGTTAAAACCCACTTCTATCCTTCTCCACTGCTGAACCTCTTTCAGACATGAGTTAAAGTTCCTGTGACATACTTATGCACGAAATACAAAAAGTCAAAGAAAACATCCTTATATTTAAGAAACTTGCTATAATACACATGATTTTACCAATTTTGTCCCATAATATGCATATTTTCTTTTGAACTTTGCTCTGACAACATGAAACAGGAAGTGACATCAAAGGGGAACTCTTCAAGAAATAAAACTCTCTGGTTTTTGTTTAATAAAACAATATTTTTTGAACTCTGACTCTTCCTCATCTATTAAAATAATCTACAGAAACCTCTGATTCTTCTCTACAATCTGTGTTGTCTGCTTTTGCAGCAATGCTCWGTTTACATTCAGGCATTCCCCTGTGACATCACTTCCTGTGACTTTACATGCGAATATCTCAACAACTGTTCATCTCAGTTGCATGAAATCTTTCTTTACAATATGTTGTCACTGTTACCTTTCCAAAAATGCGTTCATATTTATTATAAAAAATTGATGTCACAGGCACTTTAAAGGCCGGGGGTCAGCAACCTGCGGCTCTGGGGCCACATGTGGCTCTATGATCCATCTGCAGCGCCTCTTTGAAACTTTGACCAAAGCTAATATGAGATAACATATTTAGGTTTTTGTGTCCACAACAGAAAAGGCTAGCTTTAGCAGTTTTCCTGTCAATTTGTTTGCAATAGAGTGAAATATGTTAAGCATTAGATCATGCTAGTAGCCTTTTGACCACTTCAAACTTCCAATTTCCAGCCTTGACGTCTGATATTTCTCTCAAATTTGTCATTGTTGAAGACCTTTAAGACTAGGCTAGAAAATTATAAGAATTAAAAGAAAATATGCCTGTAAATTCAGTAGTAGTACACTGCAAAAAACTGTCCATCTAGCCAAGTTTTAAAATCTTATATCCAGCCAAAAAAATCTTTTTGATCTTTTTTTGAGACTGATTTACTAAACAAGAACTGTTTGTGTAAGAATAATAATCTTGTTTTCAGAATGTGTAAGATTATTTGTCTTGTTAGTCTGAAAATTTGACTCAAATTAAGTCAAAATATTTGCCAATGGAGTAAGAAAATTTTACTTGGTAAGATTCTTGAAGTAAGAAAAAACTGAGTCAAATCAAGTATTTCAAGGAGTCTTACCAAGTAAAATTTTCTTACTCCATTGGCAGAAATGTTTGACTTAATTTCAGTCAAATTTTCAGACGAACAAGACAAATAATCTTACACATTCTGAAAACAAGATTATTATTCTTACACAAACAGTTCGTGTTTACTAAATCAGTCTCAAGACAAGATCAAAAAGATTTTTTGGCTGATATAAGATTTTAAAGCTTGGTTAGGTGGACATTTTTTATTCAAATTTGGTATAAATTATTTACAGTGTTTATCTTGTTTACATGAATATGTTTTTTCTTTTGTCCCAAAGTGTAAAAACTAATACTAAATGTTAAAATTTGCGATATAGTCTTTGTTTTATAATGTCACTCCCACTGGTCAGAAAGGCCCCCTTTTAACAAACTCAAAGTGGCCCATGGGCCACCAGTTGATAATCACAGTTTTGGCACATTTTGCAGCTCTGGATACATTTTATTAATGAACCAATGAGCAGAAATAAGATAAGAGGACAATAATAATAATAATAATAATTATAATAATAATAATAATAACAATAAGAGATCTCACGATATCACGCAAGAAGATAATAACTCTTCCCATTCTTGTTCTGTATAAAAAGCACTTTGAGTTGTTTTGTTTGAAAGCTGCTATACAAGTTGTGTGTTTTTAAACGGGTTGTATTGCCCTAAAATGCTAAACAGACTGTAAACCAGGTTTGTAAAAATGTCTTTCTGTCTGCTGTGTTCAGGTTCCAGTTCCTTCGACTCGCAGAAAGTCGGTCCGGCCATCTCTGTCACGTCTCCGTTGAGCCCCAGCGTTCTGACCGGACAGGTCTCGGTGAGTTTACAGCTCCTCTCCCGTCTCGCGGTCGTCACATGACAGTGGTCTCCGTGTTGACGTGTGTGTGTTTTCAGACTACGAACAGACATCCTCTGGTCCCCAGAATCCAGGTAAACGGTAGAGTAGATAGAAGTGAGAGATCTGTGTTCTGTAGATAAACGTAGCTTTTGGTTTAGTTTGTGTCTTAATTGTCTTAAGACAATTCTGTTGTGGATCTCTGCTCCTTTTTTTGTCACTTCAGTAGAAAACGAAACCAAATATTAGTTTATTTAGTTTATTTCTTCATCATCAGTGACTTTTTTTTTCTCCGTTCCGAGATGTTTTTGAAACCATTTTAGTGGTTCTTATTTGTGTTCAAGGTTGTCCTCCTTGATGTTCCACTGCAGTTCAAAAAATCCCTTCTCCAGTTGTTTATAGCTCTTGTTGTGTTGTTTTTTTCTTCCTGTAGATAAAGCTGTGGTACGATAAAGTTGGTCATCAGCTGATCGTCACCGTCCTCGGTGCCAAGGAACTTACCGTTCGAGACGACGGCCGTCCTCGAAACCCCTACGTCAAAATCTACTTCCTGCCTGACAGAAGGTAAATAATAATAATTTATATTAATGTCGACTAGCTGTGGCTCCGCATTCAAATCGTTTCACTTCAAAAGGTGTAAAAAATGTTTTTGTAAAAACGCAGTGATAAAAGTAAGCGTCGGACAAAAACAGTGAAGAAGTCCCTGGAGCCTCGGTGGAATCAGACCTTCATGTATTCCCCGGTGCACCGGCGCGAGTTCAGAGAGCGGATGCTGGAGCTAACGGTGTGGGACCAGGCCAGAGTCCGGGAAGAGGAGAGCCAGTTCTTAGGGGAGGTGAGAGGACTTGGTTGGAACGGAGCCTCCTTGAGGATGTTGTGTGTGCTTCATGCTCTGTGTGTGCTTCATGCTCTGTGTGTGCTTCATGCTCTGTGTGTGCTTCATGCTCTGTGTGTGCTTCATGCTCTGTGTGTGCGTTCAGGTTCTGATCGAGCTGGAGTCGGCTCTGCTGGACGACCAGCCTCACTGGTACAAACTGCAGCTTCATGACGTTTCCTCTCTGCCGCTGCCCAACGCCTCGCCGTACCTGCAGAGGAGGGGCCTGCAGGCCGAGGCGTCACCGAGGAGGCTTCAGAGTGAGACACACACTGGTTCACACCAACGACACACTGGTTCACACCAACGACACACTGGTTCACACCAACTACACACTGGTTCACACCAACTACACACTGGTTCACACCAACGACACACTGAGTCACACCAACGACACACTGGTTCACACCAATGACATACTGAGTCACACCAGCGACACACTGGTTCACACCAACGACACACTGGTTCACACCAACGACACACT